CATTAGGTTAATATGTTTAATTTTAGAACCATCTAGGTCTCAGGATGAGATAAGACAGATGTATGTGTATCAGTGAACATTAGGTTAATATGTTTAATTTTAGAACCATCTAGGTCTCAGGATGAGATAAGACAGATGTATGTGTATCAGTGAACATTAGGTTAATATGTTTAATTTTAGGACCATCTAGGTCTCAGGATGAGATAAGACAGATGTATGTGTATCAGTGAACATTAGGTTAATATGTTTAATTTTAGGACCATCTAGATCTCAGGATTAGATTAGACAGATTTATCTAGATCAGCTGACATCCGTCTAATATTTCCTAATAATATATGACTTTTAGATATATGCATGTGTGTGAACCCACATCTGGCTAAACAGTGCATTTTAAATGTGAAGTGTCATTCATCGACGTATCTACATTAACATAATCGCAATTTTTACAAACACGCTAATTTAGCCGCGTGTTTACCAACCCTCTGAGTCTTCATGTTGACATTAGTCTTTCGATTTGTATGACATCTGGAGACGATCGGGTGTGGTTGTTTTTTTATTCTGTAATTCACGTCAGTGGAATGTCTATCCACTGGTTGTCATGGCTATGAGAGGAGTGAAGAATCTGGTGGGTGGATTCGAGGAATGTTTGTTTCTTTATTACTGTTAGCAGATGGAGAGCTGATTTCTAAGCTTAAACGTCCTTCTCCCATTGATACCCAATGGCTTGGTAGTAAGTTTGCCAGCTTACGACGCAAAATATTGGGTTTCAATACCTGTGGTGGACAGAGTACCAAGGCCTTCATTGACCCAGAAAAGGCTTGTCTTGGACCTAATCTGATTTGTGTTCCAAAAGTAGGCCTTCATCGATCCAAAATAAGATTTTACTGAAGCTGACTTGAGTGAGATTGAATAAAATTTTACTAAAGCTAACTTGAGTGAGGTTAAACAAGATTTTACTGAAGCTGACTTGAGTGAGGTTAAACAAGATTTTACTGAAGCTGACTTGAGTGAGGTTAAACAAGATTTTACTGAAGCTGACTTCGATGAGGTTGAACAAGATTTTACTGAAGCTGACTTGAGTGAGGTTAAACAATATTTTACTGAAGCTAACGTTAGTGAGGTTAACCAAGGTTTTACTAAAGCTGACTTAAGTAAGGTTAAAAGTTTTACTGAAGCTGACTTGAGTGAGGTTAAACAAGATTTTACTGAAGCTGACTTGAGTGAGGTTAAACAAGATTTTACTGAAGCTGACTTGAGTAAGGTTAAAAGTTTTACTGAAGCTGAGTTGAGTGAGGTTAAACAAGATTTTACTGAAGCTGACTTGAGTGAGGTTAACCAAGGTTTTACTGAAGCTGACTTAAGTAAGGTTAAAAGTTTTACTGAAGCTAACTTTAGTGAGGTTAACCAAGGTTTTACTGAAGCTGACTTAAGTAAGGTTAAAAGTTTTACTGAAGCTGACTTGAGTGAGGTTGAACAAGATTTTACTGAAGCTGACTTGAGTGAGGTTAAACAAGACTTTCCCGAAGCTGACTGCGATGAGGTTAACAAGACTGTATTGAAGCTGATTCGAATGAGGTTGAACATGATTTTACTGAAACTGACTTTAACTCGTTAAAGCAAGATTTGGTCAAAGCTGAGTTAAACCTAATTAAATAAGGTTTTGTTAAAGCTAACTTGAGCAGTTAAATAACACATTGAACAAGAGATTACTTAGGCTAGTAGTCATGGCAGAAGACTTAAATCGTTTCCCCTCTGATTCTGACGTAATCGAAGTTAGACAATAATTTACTAAATAAATCAACAAAACATTATCATGTCGGCGTCAAACAAAACTAAGAAGGATAAGTGAAAATAAAATATCTGGAATGTTGTATCGTCTGACGATTGATTAAAAAGGATTATTTTAGTAAAATTAAAACACAGAAGTTTTAACTCGTGTTTGAAGTTGTAAATGTTTCAGCTGTTAATTCACTGTTACTCTGCCTTGTTGAAATACCTCTCTCTCTCTTTCTCAATTAACGTTTTTCCTCAGTGAGTCATTAACTTAAAGGAGTGTAGATAGACACATCATCCCGTTCTGGATCAGTTTGTTTAGCCATCTTTAATTGGAGAGGCGCTCTATGTCAAAGCTGCTGTTTTGGTGCCTGTAGGTGGTACTTCTACGCTATTTATTGTTTCAGTGTGATACACATGCACGTGATTTACACAAGAGCGCTAACATATCTAGTGCACATGCTATCTTCTGCAGATTATATTAATTTTTTATTTATTGATTCAATTGCTCATGCATATAAATAGTTTGTCGATCTTTTAATAGACTCGGGACTCTTTCTGTAAAGAATTCTAAACTGTTCGTCATGCCATTTCATTTACACCTTCCTGAGAATGTAAAACATTAAGTAAAATCTTGTGGCTTTTCGTCCAAATACTAATGTGGGTGTATCAATAAGTAAAACACCTAGAATAAAAATATAAGTTTAAAACACCTGAGGAAGTTTTCAGTAAGCTGAACTATTTTCATATAACATATAGTTTACTTTTTTTTAGTCGTGTAGATATTCTTATTTTATATATTTATTTTGTTATGTTTTAAATCGAAATTATTGTAAAATAAACTATTATGCAAATTTAAAACTGATCGAATTTAATTTGAGAATTTTCTCTTTTCACTGCAAGTAAAACGTTTTGATTTTGAAAATATAGATGTCCGTTCTCTGCTAAAAACAGCGGGAGTTGAGTTTGTTAGCTAATTTAGTTTTGTTGTTGGCATTCTTTTTCTGTAAGTATAATGTCGTCCCCCCACTTTAAACTACGGTCATTAATTAATATAGTGGTCGTATTTATATACACCAGTATAAGACTCTCGACAAACACGCTGTTAGAGCTACTCTCGTGCTATTTACATCGTGGTGGCGCTGTAGTGCCAACAGGACTGTTCTGTTGCAGCCGCACCGCACACAGAAACCTAGGCCGGACACTGAGTCCTGTCATGATACGGGAAACAGAAGAGCTAAAGGCCACCATTTTGACAGGATAATTAGTGGAATAGCACACCGACTTTACTTCTAAGCTAAAAACTTGTAAAACTTTTCACTTTTCGACTGAGTTGTTTGGATAATGACTTTTTATAAAACTCGAAACAGAATCTCACGTATCATATAGAACGCTCTTTCTTTTCCCTGTGCTGCAGGTTGCTAAGAAAAATATTTCAGTATCTGTGAGCAGAATAAACAGGTCGGACATTTTTATAGTTCAGTAAAGCGTACATGAAGTGGATTTGAGAACAACTAAAACTAAGTAAAGCTGGTGGAGTAAGTATTGAAACTATTTTCTAAATCCATGTTGTTGACTTGTTTCGATTTTTCTTGTAAGCCTCTTGTTTTTAAGTCAAATACGAGACTTTCTAATGTGTGGATTCTATAACTAACTGGGCAGAAATTAATTTTGACGATATATATGTTGTAGGATCCTGTATGCAATGTGATAAAATTATGTTGTGTTCATAAAAGTCTGAAAAATGACAGGCTTTAAAATGTTCAACGGTTCTTCGTGAAATGACTAAAATTCCGAAGCGGCTTCTCTATATATGCCAGAAGAACGTAAGGACAAGTTCGGAACAAGTAACTTTCGAAAGTTTACCGAAATGATCGATGTTCGGGTGGAATTTAGTTCATTATCTTATCCATTTAGTATTTTTTGATAACTGAGTTTTCTTTTTTACAGATAAAACTACTAAGTGACTGAAAACAACTGTAACAAATTATATGTAGAAATCATATTAAACAGGTTATACTTGAAGCATTTTCTAATACTGTACATGAGTAAGGTTTGGATAAAGCCAGAGAAGTAAAGAAATTTAACGACATCAAGAGAAATGGTACTCACAAAGTTATGGTTGGACAGAGTTTGTGTTATGACAGTGTTACCTGTAACGACATTAAGAGAAATGGTACTCACAAAGTTATTTATGGTTGGACAGAGTTTGGGTTATGACAGTGTTACCTGTAACGACATCAAGAGAAATGGTACTCACAAAGTTATGGTTGGACAGAGTTTGTGTTATGGCAGTGTTACCTGTAACGACATCAAGAGAAATGGTACTCACAAAGTTATGGTTGGACAGAGTTTGTGTTATGGCAGTGTTACCTGTAACGACATCAAGAGAAATGGTACTCAC